TATATTTGTTCCCTGGCAAACTAACTAGACTCTCCTTAACTCTAAATCACACAACACTAATTACTGTTCATATATATTTATATATGTGTATGTATATTTGGTAATACTGAACATAGAGTGTAAAGACAATCAAGGCATGCAATAAATATTTTGTTTTCATAATTTTATCTCTATTAACCATTGCCTAAACATTACACAACACTGGTTTGAGAAGTTCTTGAAAGGAGCTTAGATAGAGGCCGACTTGACACGTTTTCCTTCGGCAATGTAAATAATACTCTTAACCCAGTTCTTACTGAACCAAGCTTTGACAATTGGGTGTGTCGTATATATAAAAGTGGATACATATTCTTATTTGGAGAAAGTATTATATAGTCTTTTCGACACCAATCCTGTCTTGTTGTTATCCATGTCGTATACCCAGAAAAGTTAGAGAATCAGTACAAGTCAGTGAAGACTGTCAAGCACACACCAAGTGTCTGAGAGACGTTGTACCGGTTTCACTTCACTACTGAATCATATAGTTATCTGATGAGTTTACAAAATCAAGAGACTTTAATATAATTCATCATTTTGATGTAGATAGCATATTCTTATACAGAATTAAAACTGTTGTTAAAGTAATTCCCATGTCACAGCTTCATGAGGTGGTGACACAGACATTGTAAAGTGATAATAATCCATATCATTAATCTGAAGCAAAGTTAACTTTTGCTGGCAAGTTAGTCTGGCGAATGACAGAGATTAAGTATTGTGTTTATATGACACAGTCAGATTACCTTTTACTACTGCTTGGAAAAAACGTAAACTTACTTATATTATTTAGCATCAATTTAGTGAAATTGTATTTCTCTAAGCTATCTTTTATTCTTAGCTAATTTAGAATATATATATATATATATATATATATATATATATATATATATATAATATATATATATATATATATATATATATATATATATGTATATATATATATATATATATATATATATATATATATATATATATATATATATTTGTGTGTGTGTGTGTGTGTGTGTGTGTGTGTGTGTGAGTTTACACAAATTAAATAAGTCAAGTGATTGTTAGGATGCTACAGCATATATGACACCATAAAATAGAGAAAATTTTATGAACAATCTTTAACCATCGTTTTACGAAAAAAAAAAAAACTCATTATCCCTCTGAACTCAAAATTTAAAATAGATTTCAGAGCCTAATGACGCAACGCATAAATCATCTTTTTATGTGCAGTTCACTTACTTATTTATGACTGTATTTATCAGAATATAGGAAGAGTTACGTGCATGTAAGTCCAGTGAAGTTCATCTCTGCCAGAAAAATCTGTATCTCAGACTGCACAAATCCGGACCAAACACTCCAAGTGCTCATTTTAAATAAAGAAAATTCTATAAGAGACAGTAAAAACGTTCATCTAAGAGGATGGAAGGTTAAAAAGGAACAATATATTTTTGTATTTCCTGGGCAAGGCATAAATAAGGCTGGATTTTTGTTGTTGTGTATTGTAGGTAACTGTAAGTTGTTTGTTTACATACACATGTATGTATATATATATATATATATATATATATATATATATATATATATATATATATATATATATATATATACATACACACACACACACACACACACACACACACACACACACACACACACACACACACACACAAACGCCAACGAAATTACATGGTCACTCGATCAAAGGAATTTGTAGGAACCTCCTGGAGAGCTCATAAAGGATTTTGACTAAGTTTTGTCATGATGAGAACTTAGAGGGTTGAGATGGATAAACAAGTCTGTCACAGGACTCTGCTGCTGATGAGGTACCAGACTTTTATGCCTTGAAAGGAAGAGAAAGCACATAAATATATTGAAACTATATTTACAAAAAAGATGACTAGTTCTTTGGTTTCTTTGCATTTAAAGTCACTTCTGCTGGTGATGATGCGTCTCTTCCAAATATATATATTAAATTAATACGCAGCATTAACTACCCTTCAAGAGAAGCAGGTGTTTGAAAAAGATTATGACTACTCAGCATTATTATTTAAGAGTAAAATAAGCGACAGCTTAGGAACATAATTATTAATGAAATAATTTGACATAGAAGAAAGTCGTGTTTCCCCCTGACAGGTCATCTTGACAGTGAAAAGCTCATATATGATCCAAACACCGTCCGGATGAAAGATCCCTCGGCTATAAGACCTTTCTTCTACCATGCATGTCGTCATATATTTTGCACTTCAAACCTACTGACATGTGATTTAGCTGTTTTCCTCCTTAAGATATAATGGCACGTCTAAGACTGTCACTTGTCTAAGACTGCCACTTGTCTAAGACTGTCACACATCTAAGACTGACAAGTCTGCTGAGCTGTTAACTTGAGGAATGCATCACACTTTTTCTGGCGATGAAAAAAACAAAACAGGAATTGACATAAAATAAATAAATAAAAAACACGAGAAACAAGCAGAGCACGTAGAAGCATCCTGCGTTACACTGACGTGCAGAATGAGCACGTAGAAGCATCCTGCGCTATACTGACGCTCATAATGATCACGCAAGAACATTCTGCACTACACTTACGCTCGGAATAAGCCCACTGGAGCATCTTGCGCTTTACTGACGCCCAGAATGATCAGGTGCGAGCATCCTGCGCTAAGCTGACGTACAGAATGAACACACAGGAGCAGCCAGTGCTCCAGTGAAGCCTAGGCAGCAGCTGGTGGAACCCTGCCGTGCTCTGCCTGAAAACTAATGCTTTACCTACCGTTTTTTTTTTTTGTACTAAGCAATGTTAGGTCAGTACCAGAGGAAACATGACGGAAGATCAAAATCAAGTCTGCATTTTGTGTGTTACTGTGAGTAACACCATCTTGTGTGTTACTGTGACACCATCTTGTGTGTTACTGTGAGTAACACCATCTTGTGTGTTACTGTGACACCATCTTGTGTGTTACTGTGAGTAACACCATCTTGTGTGTTACTGTGAGTAACACCATCTTGTGTGTTACTGTGAGTAACACCATCTTGTGTGTTACTGTGACACCATCTTGTGTGTTACTGTGAGTAACACCATCTTGTGTGTTACTGTGAGTAACACCATCTTGTGTGTTACTGTGAGTAACACCATCTTGTGTGTTTACTGTGACACCATCTTGTGTGTTACTGTGAGTAACACCGTCTTGTGTGTTACTGTGAGTAACACCATCTTGTGTGTTACTGTGAGTAACACCATCTTGTGTGTTACTGTGAGTAACACCGTCTTGTGTGTTACTGTGAGTAACACCATCTTGTGTGTTACTGTGAATAACACCATCTTGTGTGTTACTGTGAGTAACACCGTCTTGTGTGTTACTGTGAGTAACACCATCTTGTGTGTTACTGTGAGTAACATTATCTTGTGTGTTACTGTGAGTAACACCATCTTGTGTGCTACTGTGAGTAACACCATCTTGTGTGTTACTGTGAGTAACACCATCTTGTGTGTTACTGTGAGTAACACCATCTTGTGTGTTACTGTGAGTAACACCATCTTGTGTGTTACTGTAAGTAACACCATCTTGTGTGTTACTGTGAGTAACACCATCTTGTGTGTTACTGTAAGTAACACCATCTTGTGTGTTACTGTGAGTAACACCATCTTGTGTGTTACTGTGAGTAACACCATTTTGTGTGTTACATTGCGAATAACACCATCTTGTGTGTTACACTGCTAGTAACACCATCCTGTGTGTTACACTGCGAGTAACACCATCCTGATACTGAGATCAACACCATCTTCAGTGTTACACAGAGTGACGTCATCTTTGGTGTTACACAGATTAACTCCCACTTCAGTAAGAGAGTAACACAATACTGGGTCTTACACAGAGTAACATTATATTGGGTGTTACACAGAGTAACACTATATTGGGTGTTAGGCAGCAGAAAGTAACACTATCTTAGGTGATACACAGAGTGTTACCATCTTGTTTGTTACACATAGTAACTCCATATCTAAGTGTTACACAGAGAGTAACACCCAACTCAAGTGTTACACAGAGAGCAACACTAAACTCAAATTTTACACAGAGAGCAACACTCAAGTGTTACACAGAGAGTAACACCCAACTCAAGTGTTACACAGAGAGCAACACCCAACTCAAGTGTTACACAGAGAGCAACACCCAACTCAAGTGTTACACATCCATCTCAAATGTTACACAGGCAGTAACACCCATCTCAAGTGTTCCACAGAGAGAGACACCCAACTCAAGTGTTACACAGACAGTAACACCCAGTTGAAGTGTTACGCAGAGAGTAACACCCAACTCAAGTGTTACACAGAGAGCAACACCCAACTCAAGTGTTACACAGAGAGCAACACCCAACTCAAGTGTTACACATCCATCTCAAATGTTACACAGGCAGTAACACCCATCTCAAGTGTTCCACAGAGAGAGACACCCAACTCAAGTGTTACACAGACAGTAACACCCAGTTGAAGTGTTACGCAGAGAGTAACACCCAACTCAAGTGTTACACAGAGAGCAACACCCAACTCAAGTGTTACACAGAGAGCAATAACCAACTCAAGTGTTACACAGAGAGCAACACCCAACTCAAGTGTTACACAGAGAGCAACACCCAACTCAAGTGTTACACAGAGAGCAACACCCAACTCAAGTGTTACACAGAGAGCAATAACCAACTCAAGTGTTACACAGAGAGCAACACCCAACTCAAGTGTTACACAGAGAGCAACACAGAGCAACATGCCAGCACATCAACAGTACTGTGACTCCATCCTCCCTCCCAGCTGCATCAAGAACAAAGTTACCAAAATAAACTAAAATAATTTTTTTTAAGTCCCTGTGTGTGTGTGGGGGACACACCCTGAACACACACCTCCTCGACATATATATCAGTATACAAGAGATAACTATCTAGCAAGTGTACGATTTGGATAATATCTTAAAATTGTGATTTACTTTTCCTGGTAATTCATGATTTTCTAATAGACCTAAGCTAGTGGTGATTTGTATGTACATTATGAATTGTTTGCATCTGTTTCTCACTTTTTTCGAAGTGTTTCGTCAGATATTTTTCTTGTTTTGGGTTTTCTAGTGTTGTTGGCTGATGAGGGAAGACATTCGCTCGTTTTCGTTTTATGGCAGTCTTGCTGTTTCCCCTTGTCTGTGTTGCCCATCTTCTTTGTTTCCCCTTGTTTGTGGTGTCCCTCTCCGTTGTTTCCCCTTGTTTGTAGTATCCATCTCCCTTGTTTCCCCTTGTTTTTGGTGTTTATTTCTATTATTTCCCTTGTTTATGGAGTCCAGCCCTTTCCATCTTGTTTGTGGAATCCATTCTCCCTTATTACCCTTGTATGTGGTATCCAGCCCCCTTGTTTATGGTGTCAAGTGTCTTCGGTGCCCTTGTATGGGGTATCCAGCCCCCTTGTTTATTGCGTCTAATTATTTTATAACCCTTGTTCATAGTGTTCAGTCCCCATGTTCCCTTGGTTTGTAGTGTTCAGTCCCTATGTTCCCTTGGTTTGTGGTGTTCAGTCCCCATGTTATCTTGGTTTGTGGTGTCAGTCCCCATGTTCCCTTGGTTTGTGGTGTTCAGTCCCCATGTTATCTTGGTTTGTGGTGTCAGTCCCCATGTTCCCCTGGTTTGTGGCGTTCAGTCCCCATGTTTCCCTGGATTGCGGCGTTCAGTCCCTTTGTTCCCCTGGTTTGTGATGTTCAGTCCCCATGTTTCCCTGGTTTGTGGTGTTCAGTCTCATGTTCCCCTGATTTGTGGTGTTCAGTCCCCATGTTCCCTTGTTTGTGGCATTCAGTCACCTTGTTCCCACTGTTTGTAGAGTTCAATCCCCTTCTTCCCTTTGTGGTGTTCAGTCCCCTGATTCTCTTTGTGGTGTTCAGTCCCCTTGTTCTTTTGTTTGTGGTGTTCATTCCCTTTGTTCCCTCTGTGATTTTCAGTCCCCTTATTCCTATTGTTTATGGTGTTCAGTTCATTTGTTCCCTTTGTGGTATTCAGTCCCCTTGTTTCCTTTGTGGTGTTCAGTCCCCTTGTTCCCTTTGTGATGTTTCAGTCCCTTTGTTCCCTTTGTTTGTGGTGTTTCAGTCCCCTGAATCCTTTTGTTTGTGGTGTTCAGTTCCCTTTGTTTGTGTTCTCCCCTTGTTTCTTTTGTTTTTTGGGTTCAGTCCCTTTATTCCCTTTGTGGTATTCGATCCCATTGTTTTGCTTTGTTCTCAAGATTTCTGTCATCAATAACGCTACTATCATGCTTGAAATTAATTTATTGCAAGTTAATAAATTATTCTGCAATTAGTGATGCTTCCTCAGTGGACCCCTTTTTTTAATTATTTTTTTCGATATAAAGATTATGCATCGTGATGCAATGACTCTTTTAAGACCATTTCGAAATTATTTTTCCTCTCAACTGCTTCTCTTTTATCATCCCAGTGTGACTACTATCCTCTATGCATTTCATTACGTTATTTTTTTTGTTTTTTATTTCGACCAGCTTGCCCCATTCCCAAGCTGTCACTCTTCTGCCTCTCTCCATCTCTGTATTCATTTCTCCTTTAGTTGCTCCTGCTGCTGCTTCCTCTCCTCCTGCTCCTCCTCCTTTCCCTCCTCCTGCTTTGCTTCCTCAGTCTCCTTTCTCAGTGAGGGTGTGGGCGTAGGGTCGTCATCGAAGAGAGGATTCTTCACCTCCATTTCTCCAGTCTGTCAACAAAAGGCATTCATTACTTCCATCACATAATTATTATTATTATTATTATTATTATTAATTATTATTATTATTCTATTGATTCAAACTGGATAAATTTGGATTTAGAAAGGATATAAGTACTGGTTTGGAAATACAGTAGTCGAAGAGTGGAACAGTGTAACTAGTAGGGTCATTGAAGCTGAAACCTTGGGTAGCATCAAATATACTACGTTAGATAAATATATGAGTCAGAGGGATTTGGTTTGAGTAGGACTTGCACATTTGTTAATAGGGTTATCAAAGCTTATTCCTTGGGTAACATTCATAATGGGTTGGGAGAATAATTTTGTTAGTGGTGTTTGGGTTTGACAAAGACCTGTCTAGTATGGTCCAGAAGGCCTGCTGCAGTGCTTCTCCTTTCTTATGTATTATTATTATTATTATTATTATTATTATTATTATTATTAATATTAATATTATTATTATTATTATTATTATTAATATTATTATTATTATTATTATTATTATTATTATTATTATTAATATTATTATTATTATTATTATTATTATTATTATTATTATTATTATTATTTAACACGTCGGCCGTCTCCCAGTGAAACAGAGTTACCCAAGAAGGAAAACACATTAATCGTCATCCATTCTGTAACTGTCTTACTAGTTGTATGGATCATACAGTGTCTGACACATGGAAAACAATCATACTCATTCCAAGGACAGGCACCTAAAGTCGGTACCTGACCAGCCAGGCTATAGCTCGTACGTCGATTTATGTGCGGCCAGCAGTAACAGCCTAGTTGATTAGATCCTGATCCACCACTAGGTCTGGTCACTGCCCAGGCCGCGGGGGAGTTGACCCCCGAAACCCCCTCCAGATACGCTCCAGGTATGAACAGCGAGCTGCTACGCAGTTGTGGTAACGATAACTAGCTATATTTACCATATAATCCATCACGAAGGATCAGTTACACAGTGTTGAAAACTATCAGCCTGTACAGGAATACCTCACAAGGGCAACGATATCTATCGTCAGGTATTCCATTAAGAGCTCAGCTACAATTCAGGGAACAAGAGTCCTTCACCGGCAGTCAGGTCCTGAAGGAACTACTCTCACAACAATGTTAACACTCCTTGCTACAACACACACTCAACAAACAAGTCAAACAACGCAACAGTTCAACACCAACTTCGGTCATTAGTTATCTCAATGTGTCAAGCCACGAGACAACCCAATTACAAAGTTTAAAATGAGTATAATTTGAAGAAAAAAAAATGTTTGTAAAAGAAGGAACACTGGCTGGAAAAAATAATAATTATCCTAGGAATAACAATAATAAAATTATTACCAATAATAATAATAACAACAGAACGCCTATAATATTGTTTAACTCATATTATTTTCTCTACCTTGTTCTACCTCATCTCTACCTTGTTCTACCTCATGCCTACCTTCTCTACCTTGTTCTACCTCATCTCTACCTTGTTCTACCTCATCCCTACCTTCTCTACCTTGTTCTACATCATGCCTACCTTCTCTACCTTGTTCTACCTCATCTCTACCTTGTTCTACCTCATCCCTACCTTCTCTACCTTGTTCTACATCATGCCTACCTTCTCTACCTTGTTCTACCTCATCTCTACCTTCTCTACCTTGTTCTACATCATCTCTACCTTCTCTTACCTTTTTTCTACCTCATCTCTACCTTCTCTACCTTGTTCTACATCATGCCTACCTTCTCTACCTTGTTCTACCTCATCTCTACCTTCTCTACCATGTTCTACATCATCCCTACCTTCTCTACCTTGTTCTACCTCATGCCTACCTTCTCTACCTTGTTCTACATCATCCCTACCTTCTCTACCTTGTTCTACCTCATCTCTACCTTCTCTACCTTGTTCTACCTCATGCCTACCTTCTCTACCTTGTTCTACATCATCCCCTACCTTCTCTACCTTGTTCTACCTCACCTCTACCTTCTCTACCTTGTCTACCTCATGCCTACCTTCTCTACCTTGTTCTACATCATCCCTACCTTCTTCTACCTTGTTCTACCTCATCTCTACCTTCTCTACCTTGTTCTACCTCATGCCTACCTTCTCTACCTTGTTCTACATCATCCCTACCTTCTCTACCTTGTTCTAACTCATCCCTACCTTCTTACTTGTTCTACCTCATCCCTACCTTCTCTACCATGTTCTACCTCATGCCTACCTTCTCTACCTTGTTCTACATCATCCCTACCTTCTCTACCTCATCCTACCTTCTCTACCTTGTTCAAACCTCATCCCTACCTTTCTACCTTCTTACCTCATCACTACCTTCTCTACCTTGTTCTACCTCATCACTACCTTCTCTCCCTTGTTCTACCTAAATCCCTACCTTCTCTACCTTGTTCTACATTCATCCATACCTTCTCTACCTTGTTCTACCTCATCTCTACCTTCTCTACCTTGTTCTACATCATCCATACCTTCTCTACCTTGTTCTACCTCATCTCTACCTTCTCTACCTTGTTCTACCTCATGCTACCTTCTCTACCTTGTTCTACATCATCTCTACCTTCTCTACCTTGTTCTACATCATCTCTACCTTCTCTACCTTGTTCTACATCATCTCTACCTTCTCTACCTTGTTCTACATCATCTCTACCTTCTCTACCTTGTTCTACATCATCTCTACCTTCTCTACCTTGTTCTACCTCATCTCTACCTTCTCTACCTTGTTCTACCTCATAACTACCTTCTCTACCTTGTTCTACATCATTCCTACCTTCTCTACCTTGTTCTACCTCATTCCTACCTTCTCTACCTTGTTCTACATCATCTCTACCTTCTCTACCTTGTTCTATCTCATCTCTACCATCTCTACCTTGTTCTACCTCATTCCTACCTTCTCTACTTTGTTCTACATCATCTCACCTTCTCTACCTTGTTCTACCTCATCTCTTCCTTCTCTACCTTGTTCTACCTCATCCCTACCTTCTCTACTTTGTTTCTACATCATCTCTACCTTCTCTACCTTGTTCTACCTCATCTCTACCTTCTCTACCTTTGTTCTACCTCAATCCCTACCTTCTCTACTTTGTTCTACATCCATCTCTACCTTCTCTACCTTGTTCTACCTCATCTCTACCTTCTCTACCTTGTTCTACCTCATCCCTACCTTCTCTACTTTGTTCTACATCATCTCTACCTTCTCTACCTTGTTCTACCTCATCTCTACCTTCTCTACCTTGTTCTACATCATCCATACCTTCTCTACCTTGTTCTACCTCATCTCTACCTTCTCTACCTTGTTCTACTCATGCCTACCATCTCTACCTTGTTCAACATCATACATACCTTCTCTACCTTGTTCTACCTCATCTCTACCTTCTATACCTTGTTCTACATCATCCATACCTTCTCTACCTTGTTCTACCTCATCTCTAACCTTCTCTACCTTGTTCTACCTCATGCCTACCTTCTCTACCTTGTTCAACATCATCCATACCTTCTCTACCTTGTTCTACCTCATCTCTACCTTCTCTACCTTGTTCTACCTCATGCCTACCTTCTCTACCTTGTTCTACCTCATCTCTACCTTCTCTAACTTGTTTTACATCATCCATACCTTCTTACCTTGTTCTACCTCATCTCTACCTTCTCTACCTTGTTCTACCTCATGCCTACCTTCTCTACCTTGTTCAACATCATCCATACCTTCTCTACCTTGTTCTACCTCATCTCTACCTTCTCTACCTTGTTCTACATCATCCATACCTTCTCTACCTTGTTCTACCTCATCTCTACCTTCTCTACCTTGTTCTACCTCATGCCTCCCTTCTCTACCTTGTTCAACATCATCCATACCTTCTCTACCTTTTTCTACCTCATAACTACCTTCTCTACCTTGTTCTACATCATCCATACCTTCTCTACCTTGTTCTACCTCATCTCTACCTTCTCTACCTTGTTCTACCTCATCACTACCTTCTCTACCTTGTTCTACATCATCCATACCTTCTCTACCTTCTCTACCTCATCACTACCTTCTCTACCTTGTTCTACCTCATCACTACCTTCTCTACCTTGTTCTATATCATCTCTACCTTCTCTACCTTGTTCTACCTCATCTCTACCTTCTCTACCTTGTTCTACATCATCCCTACCTTCTCTACCTTGTTCTACATCATCTCTACCTTCTCAAACCTTGTTCTACATCATCTCTACCTTCTCTACCTTGTTCTACCTCATCTCTACCTTCTCTACCTTGTTCTACATCATCCCTACCTTCTCTACCTTGTTCTACATCATCTCTACCTTCTCTACCTTGTTCTACATCATCTCTACCTTCTCTACCTTGTTCTACATCATCTCTACCTTCTTACCTTGTTCTACATCATCTCTACCTTCTCTACCTTGTTCTACCTCATCCCTACCTTCTCTACCTTGTTCTACATCATCTCTACCTTCTCTACCTTGTTCTAACTCATCCCTACCTTCTCTACCTTGTTCTACCTCATCCCTACCTTCTCTACCTTGTTCTATATCATCCCTACCTTCTCTACCTTGTTCTACCTCATAACTACCTTCTCTACCTTGTTCTACCTCATAACTACCTTCTCTACCTTGTTCTACCTCATAACTACCTTCTCTACCTTGTTCTACATCATCTCTACCTTCTCTACCTTGTTCTAACTCATAACTAACTTCTCTACCTTGTTCTACCTCATAACTACCTTCTCTACCTTGTTCTACATCATCTCTACCTTCTCTACCTTGTTCTAACTCATAACTACCTTCTCTGCCTTGTTCTACCTCATAACTACCTTCTCTACCTTGTTCTACATCATCACTACCTTCTCTACCTTGTTCTACATCATCTCTACCTTCTCTACCTTGTTCTACATCATCCCTACCTTCTCTACCTTGTTCTAACTCATAACTACCTTCTCTACCTTGTTCTACCTCATAACTACCTTCTCTACCTTGTTCTACATCATCACTACCTTCT